ATAATTTTATGCATGTGTCAAAACCCATGGAACTTACATTATGTCACAGAATAAATATAATTAAGCAGATTTTAAAAGTCAACAAGTATATTGGAAATCCTGGGGTGGAATTGAGACTAACAAATGAATCTAAATTTAGTACAAATTTATGACATAATACCTTAATGAAGTTGAGGGCAAATAAGCTAACTTGAGTAACTTTGGAAAACAGTGGTTTGACTACAAACTGTAAGGCTAAATATTAAGTTACACTGTACATAAACACTGTATACCAGTTAATAAATTTGTTTCTCCTTGGAATATAGTCTATAAATTCTGAAACTGCTTTACATACATGCTATGTTGAATATATGAATACACAGAGGTTGGATGGTAGGTTTCACATTTCTCATGTTAGACTTACAAAGTTATAAGGGAAGTTGAAATGACCTTGTAAGAAACGATATATGTGGGCTGGGGATGTGGCTCAAACATGCTCGCCTGGCATGCGCAGGGTGCTGGGTTCGATCCTCAGCACCACATAAAATAAAACATAAAGATGTTGTGTCCACTGAAAACTGAAAAATAAATATTAAAAAATTCTCTCTCTTCTCTCTTTAAAAAAAAAAGAAACGATATATCCTTATTTTAATATGTATATAGATAGACACAGAAATAACTTGATTCAGTATGTAAACATGTGTCACCTATCTCTGTTCATTTTGTCTAAGAGGCCTAGAAGAGTGACATTTGAGTAGCAACAAGCACAGCTGACACACAACTCTTCATTTCTAAAACCATCCTAGAATAAATAACAAACCAGTGAAGTCCTTCAAGAATGGCCAATTCTATGTCAAAAGGATGGCTTTGTGTTAAAAAAAAAAAAAAAAAATAAGATGACCTGAAAAGGCTTGCATAACCAAAGTTTAATTTCACAGCAAAATAAATAACTCACTAATAACAAAAAGTATAAAATATATATACATAAATCTTTGTATATATATAAACAGAAAAAAAATGGAGAAAAGAATTCTTTACAGAAATTCTACTTAATATATGCAGATATACTCCCACCAGGAGATGGAGTTTAATTACCACTCAACCCCTTGAGAGTGAGCTAGACACAGTAACTTGCTTCCAGGGAATACAGTATAAAAATTTTTCTACAGAAAAATTTAACTTGGTAACCTCGCTTTGTGAATTTTAGAAAAGAGATTTGGTTTTCTTTTCTTTTTAATTAACATAATAATTTCTGTGTAACAAAATAACATTTACAGGGTACTATGTCATAACTCAATAAATGTATACAATGTATAATGATCAGATCAGGATATTTAGCATGAAAAGTATTTTTATTCAGGACATTTCCATTAATCATATTTCCTACTCACTACCTACCACCACTGCCTCACCAAAACATTTTAGAAGTTGAGATCCAAAGAGGATAACTGAAGCATGAAACAATAATTAAAGTATTTCACTTCTATTGCATAATAGAATGAAAAGGACATAACTTTCCTATGTTAATATATGAATACACAATCAATGAAACTCCACATCATGAACAACCGCCAAGTATACTAAGTAGAATCCTAAGTAGAATAAGTTATATCCTATGTATGTATAATGTCAAAATACACTCTACTGTCACATATTTCCTATGCCAGTGTAACATACGGTTGCCCTACATAAATGTAAAATCTATACATTTATATTTATTATTATTAAAAAATATTTTAATGTATTAATGTTGTTAATTGTTAACAATATTGTTAATTAATATTGTTAACTGTTAACATTGTTAACACTGTAAAAAGACATAGTGAAATAAAGGTCAATAAAATTCCATTGCCACCTACACATGAATTCTAAATGACTATGACTATTAAGGCACATCAACATTTCCCCCCACTCCATAAGAATTATTCAGAAATATTACATTTATATTTAGGGATTAAAGTGATTCAAATAAATTCTTAAATGTACCTGGAAATTTTGTTGAAAATTTAATCTACATGCAAGTACCTATTAATCAATCCAAGCAAATTATAATCCTATATTTCAGGTATTTACCCAGGAATCTATTAATAGGGTAAATCATTCAAGATAACTTTACAATTAAAAAAAAAAAAAATAAGTCTAACCGGGATTTGAGAAACTTTGTTACAAATGACAACAAAAGTTCAACACAGCTGGAAACCTGCTTTGAAATCTTCCAACATTATCTTTAGAAAGTTTAACTTCAGTTATAAAAAAAAAAATGGTGTCGAGCAGAAACTGTTGTACAGGTGCATCCTGGCCCACATTTCATAATAAGTAAGTTTCAAAACAGTTATAATATAGCCAAAATGACCTATTTCCCTGAGCATTTTTTTTTCTTTTTGGTCAACAGTTACAGAAAGTTCTCCGTATAGAAGGAAAACCCTCTTTTTTTCCTTTTTGGTAGGAAGTTAATTATAACAACCAAAATGCCCAATAACATCTTTTAATTCTATATTTCACTTCAGAAACTTTCACAAAGGAAAATTCTGCAGTAAAAACACATTTTAAAATTCTGGCCAATAAAAATCAAATTCTTCTTAAACAACCTGCCATGTAGTTACAACTTTTGATTTTTCCAAGAAAATTCCTGTAACTAAGTTTACCCCTCAGTCTTTTAACTACGCAGGAGCTCTTTTCTTTACAATGTCTAATGAGTAAAGCATTGAAGGGAAAAAGTGAGAAGGGACTGTTATAACAATGACAGCTGAGCAAGGAAAGAGCAAAACATCTATAAGAAAGAAATGAAGGCAAAACAGAACCAAGTCTCTCTCTTTCTGATAAATGCCAAAGCAGTTGCAAAAACTAGATAACTTGATAACCACACTTCTCAGAAGCACACAAAACCTGTACAGTAGAATTAGTGACTCAGAACAATTAGAGAAATGTTTTGCATTCATTTAAAGTAAGTATGCACTGTGAAAGAATCCTTTAAGTAAATATGATTTCACAGGACTTTTTTTTATTTTCACCTGTACAATTAAATTAGCTTTAAAATTCCTTTTTGCTTTAGGTATGGCAGCAAAATATAGAAAATATATAAAAGATTACTGGAATAGATAAATGGTCAAAATATACCAGCAGGTAATCTCCCTGCATATCCAAGTAGAATATTTTCCTATTTTGTATGGAGTTTGACTCCTGGGTTTCCTCTGTATATTTCTACCTATTGGCCAATTCATTATTCACTAATGAGTAAGAGAATGTATATAACATGACTCTTTTCTATTCTTGTACAGCAATCAATATAGCTACAGAGATCTGAATCAAAGCTGAGATTCAAAAGACTTTTAACTTTGCCTCTGGTGATTGCAGTCAAACTCTGTTGTCTGCAACTTCACCATACTTTGTAATTAAATTGTAGGATAAAACTTTGAAATCAGTTCAACTTCTCATTTTATAACTGGGAAAATCATGAGAATTTACTAGTGCAAAGATGGTGTCAGCTCAAGTTTTTAACTCCTAGACTAATACTTGCTCAACTAAATCATGTTTTCCATAACCTATTTCTTACTCTACTCTCTACAATATTCTTGCTATCCAAACATTCTATCAGGGAAAGGTGATAAAATACACTAAGCACGGCCAAAGAATTTCAAGTTTCAGATCAAATACATAAGCACAACATAATTTTCTATCCAACTTTTTTTCTTAAACCCTACCAACTTGTCTGTTGTTATCCACCTCATTTCTCCATCACTATAATTAACGTCTCAGTTATGTAGCACTGTTACATAAAACATATTAATTATAATAAGCAAATGTTACAAATCTACACATTTTATTAGAAACCATTTTAAGTCCTTTACCTATAGAAGCATCTCAATTCTCAATTTAAAGATAAATGGTTTACACTTCATTGTATTTATTTATTTACTTACTTGTTTTTGGTACTGAGGATTGAACCTAGTGGCACTTAACCACTGAGCCACATCTGTATCCCTTATTTATTTTGAGACAAGGTGCCCACTAAGTTGATGTAGCTGGCCTCAAACTTGTGATCCTGTCTCACCCTCCTGAGTTGCTGGCATTACAGGCATGTGCCGTCATGCCCAGGTCCCCATTTTATTAAAAGAGCAAAAATCAGAGCATCAGAAATTAATTTACACTAGTTCACATAGTTAATAAGTGGTAGAACTGTTATAAGTAACCAATATGACTTCAAAATTCATTTTGCTGATTTTCACCTATGATAAGTGCACATAACTATGTGAATTTTATTTCAATGTACAAGTAACTCAAAATTGGGGGTGCTAAAAAAGAATTTAAAAAGAGTATTCCGATGTGAAGAGTTGTTTTTTTAAAAACACATAAATTAGACAAATCTAATTTAAAAAGATACGGCACAAGTAAAAACTCTTAACTCATTCACAGATAATTAAAAGTTCACCATGAAAATTTAAAAAAAGGGGGGGGGGGGGGGGAATACAGTAAAACAAATGTCCAGATCAATGTTATCTATAAAGCTTTCTTCAGTGATAAAAATGTTTTCTATCTGTGCTGTCCAAGATAGTAGACACTACTCATGTGATATTAAGCACTTAAATGTGTCTGGTTTGTCTAAATAATAAAATTTTGAATATTCTATGATTTAAATTTAAACAGCTACATGTGGCTAGTGGCTACAGCACTGGACAGCAAAGGTGCAAAAAGCCAAATGCCAGGCAAAATGAGTGCACCAATTCTTACTATATTTAAGATTTTTACCAACAGTCAAATCAATTTGAATACTTTTTTTTGTATGTTCCAGCTTCCATTATTACCTCAAGCATAAACCTAATATAGATTTAAGTACTTCAAAATTCAAAAGTTCCAAAGAACTTAAATATTTTAAAAAATATTTAGAATAGGTAATGTCAACAAAGCTTCAAATACTAGAAACCTTTTCAATATTTGGATGGCTAAGACTACAAATTTATAAAAAACAGCAAATGGATATTCAGTTCTCCTCACAGTAAACAGTTGATAAAGTTGTTGCTTACCTTGATTCTCCACTGCTGTTTCTAACACTTTCTTCATCACTATGTCCATTCATTGTAAATATCAAGGAGTTTTAAAATAAAATATAAATCTTCCCAGTTTAAAAGATGAATATAAATACTGACTCCTCTTTGAATATCAAAAATTCAGATGAATTTTCTTGAACATTCACAATTTCCTGGGACCCTCTTTGATTCACCTAAGGAAAACATGAAAAAATAAGAACACTTTCTGTAGAAAAAGATAAATAAGCCCTGCTTAGAACTTGTAGAAATCTACCTAGGCCAATTAGACTAAAGATGGTAAGGAAGGGGTGGAGGTCTTTTACTTAACATATCTCAGCTTCTATTATGTACTTTCTTATAACTTACTAGAATTTAGCAGGCTATATTGCTAAAATGTTTTCCACAGAAGAAATCAAAACATTTGTGGAGTGATAAAACTTTTAGAGACTGCCACTGTGTATCAATATTTATATAATTTACTAAAGCAAAGTGGTACCATGCAACATATAACTACATCCCTAGAAAATGGAGTCTTATTTGATAATTTGATTAAATAAGTGAAGGGGGGAAAAGGGTTACTCTTAATGAAGGCCTAATTTCTATCTCCAAGAACTTCATATACTCCTGTGAAGGAAAGTTTTGGAAATGTTCACATGAGAAAATAATAAAAAGTTACATAATTTTAGCAAAAATGCACAGGACAAAATAAACATGCTCTTTTTCAGGTAAACTGATAGTGGAGTGAAAAAAAATATTTACTAGTTTGGACTCGCAGAGATTCCATGAAAAAAATAAAAAAGTAATAGAATATACACTCTATGTGCTTTTTTTAAAGTAAAATTTGGTGCAACATAATAAAATACCAAGACACAGTATTTGCACTCTCAAGATTTCAGCACAACAGTAGAGTCACCTACAAGCCATCCACGAATAAACAAAGGAGATCTCTGGCAGGGGAGGGAGAGGAAGAAGCGGGGGAAGGAGACGTCAGATCCTTCCCCAGTCAGAAAGTACTGAGACAGCCTACAGAAGCAGAGCTGTCCCCAGACCTCAGCAATGAAAATTTTCTCCTATGATTATCTGCATTACACACAAACACAAAGAGGTGAGGAAACAGGCTGTTGCCAGCTCAATCATAGAAGATTCTGCATGTGGATTGGGATCTTAATTCTCCAGACTTCAGGGTAGTCTACCCTCTTCTGCAAGAGCAGGTTATCTAAAAAGTAACTGTTCCACTCAACATTTATTCCTCAAGTTAAATATAAATTCCAACTTTAGTCAAAAAGCTTTACTATTATAACAAGTCTTAAAAATCTAAGTACTCTGCCTCTTTCCTTAAAGTCTTCGTTAAGAAAGTTCTCTCCTTTTCGTTCTTTCCCTTTCACCTTCCTTTCGTCCCTCAAAATGGCTTTCTCTGTGCACTGTAACTTCCTTTCCCCTCTCACTCCCTTCTCCGAGTAAGTCGTCTTTCCGAAACCCTTTTCAGAACCGTAAGTTTAAAGCTTAAAGCGCACGCAGCTCTCCGCTGTCTCTCGTGCGTCTCAACAATGACTCTTCTCTAAGTCGTTAAACCTCTACAATCCTCTACTTCTATCCTCTGTGTTTTAACACTTGTTTTACTCCTACTAAGTTTCTGAAGCAGGACTCCAAGAGATTGGGAAACCATCCTCCTTGCCCGTCCAACTCAGTCTGGCTCCCCATCAGCCTCCCTTCCGGACGTCTCCCCTTTCTCCCGGGCCTCCATCCCGGTCCGGGAGTCTCTTCCCGCCTCAAACTTCCCGCAGAACCGCCCCGCGCCCTCCCAGGCTCGCCCGAGCCGCCGCCCCCTCCCCCTCCCCGCGGATCCCCACGTGCTGGGTGCCGGGGTTGCAGCAGGAGAGACGCACCGCCAAGCGCTCGCCACTCGCGGATCTCCCTTTACGACCCAACCGGCCCCCTGCCCAAGAAACCCGGGCCGGGCTGGCCGGCGCAAGGATGCGCTCTGCGGTGGCCGGCCTGCACTCGCCGCTCACACGCCCCCTGCGCGCCTGGCCCGCCCGCCAACGCCGCCACCGGCCCTCGCACAGCCGCCCTGGCCTTCTCCGGGCCACCGGGCCGACGCCTGGGCACCGCGCCGTCGCCGCCCTCCGCCCAGCGGGCTCTAGTCCTCCCAGCCACATCCTGACCCACCCGCCACCCCCTTTCTTACCGGCGGACGTGCGGGCTTGGCGGGGCGGAGGAAGCCGGCTCGCAGGCAGCCGACTCCGATCGGCGGCCTCCCCCGCGCCCGGGCCCGCGATCTTGCCGCCGAGTCCTCGGGCTCCGGGCGTCTCGGGGTAAGCAAGAGTCCGGGAGGGATGGGGGAAGGGGAAAGACGCGGAGGGGAAGGGGAAACCCCGGCCCGCGGCACCAACGCGCGATTCCCTGCCGAGTGGATCCAACAATCAATTCATTATTGAAGCACCAAAGGCGAGGGCAGCAAGAGCGAGAAGTAACGAGTCGTCGTCTCAGCCGCCGTCGCGCGCGCGCTCCCGCTCCCGCCGCTTATCGGCCCCCGGCAGCCGCCATGACGCCGAGAGAGCGAGGGAGCGCAACCGTCTTCGTCGTAGCCACCGCCGCCACCGAGGTCGCCGTCGCCCCCGCCTCCCGCGCGACGTCAGCGCCTCTGCTCACTCCCCTTCCCCACAGGGCGCGAGACCGGCGGCCGCGCGCACGCTGAGCCCTTTCTGCAGGCGGTAGGCGGGGCTACGTCGGGGAGTTGTGGGCGTTGAGAAAAAAGCGATTGGTGCTGGGGCGGGGCGGAGAGCGTTGCGCGCGCGCACTTGCGGGAACGCGCACGCTGGATGCGCGGAAGCCGCCGGACTCTGACCAAGGCTGTGGCCGGCAGGTCCTCGCTCGGTGCCCGCCCTCCGTGGCCGGGCGGTGAGTTCCGGGAAGTGGGAGCTACAGGCTCGCTCTGTGCGGGTGTGAGCGCTACCGTCACTCCTACGGTCGCGCAAGGACGTCGCGGCGGAGACACTGAGGAGGAACCAGGGAGAAACCGGGGTGGGACTCGGGGAGCCGCGAAAGCACCGCCCTGGAAAAACCGGAGGGCCGCGTCGCGTGTAGTGTAGAGTCGCCCAGGCCTCGCCCCGCGCTCCCGCGGGCTCCTGGCCGGGTCTGAGCTTTGGTCCGCAGAGGCCGTGCGGGAGCTGCTGCGTCACACCAGGCAGCCTGGGAACCCAACTGTTGGGCAACTGTGGTCGCCTCCCGCAGCCTCCTACGCTTGGGCGACCGACCTGCCGCTGAATATCCCTCGGGGGTTGATACCTTGCACGGGCGGGGCACCGGAGGAGGAGAGAAAATAGAGTTCTGGTTGTTGACATCCTGTGACGTTGCTTGATTCATTTGCTGGTGACCCATTCCTGATTCAGAAAAGAACTTTTACAATCTTTCCCTTTTAGGTCCCTCCATAGGGGGCGGGTTGGAGGGTGTGGTGCCGAATCGCAACAAAAAAAGCTACTCGAGGGACATTGGTAACTGTCTCAGTTTAACATGCTGCAATTTAGTTGACAGTTTCGTTCATAACTGTATCTGCAAGCCTCAGTTACAATCTTGTCAGTGTGTTGGAAACACTATCTTTTCAAGCATGGTGATACCCCATTTCGCTGTTTTTGAAAGCATTTTTGTATGGTCAAAATTAGTTTACACTTATCCGTTTTTAGGTGTGCAAATTTGTCTTGAATTCCTTAAGGTTAACGACCATTTTTGAAACTTTCTAATCCCATTCTTAAGTCATTTGATTTAATTTAAAGGCCTGCCTTCCAAGTCAAATGAATATGATTTCCATAACACAAATTCCCCGAATAATAATTCTTTCATTTGGGAGATACTTGCTTAAATGGTTTGGTCTATCTCCAACGAGCTTAAAATAAAATTCAAGGGTCTATTCACTTTGGGAAGTGGGGAGAGGTATACATGACCTATTCAAAAAACATGCCTGTCTTCAGTCATTAAATAGTGAATCAAAGTAGAACATTACCATCTTTTGTGTGCTCTACCTCCTTTTTTTTTTCCTTTTTGCTAGATATTAAATAGCTTTGGGCTGGGAGTGTGGCTTGGTGGTAGAGTGCTTGCTTAGCATGTGCAAGGCCCAGGATTCAATCCCCAGAACCACACACAAACACAAACACACATAGCTTTAATGCTGGGTTCAGAGGAATAGTGAGATCATACAAATCTGCATTTCTGAAGCCCCTTTAGTATTGTGAACTAAGTACTAATTTTTAACATTAAGCTTTGTATTAGTAATTAGCCTTAAGGATACAAATTTTGCCCTTTTTTTTCTTCTTGATTACTAGAATGATAACAAAAATCAAAGCTCCAGACAAACTAACCTTGACAAAGAATAATCAGAAGTATGGTTCAGATAACGAAGTCCTCATGTATAACTAAAGCACATTTTGTCATTGTATTACAAAAAGAATCAGTGTATAGTCTATTTTACATGTTTTTTGAAAGCATGTCAAACCTTTTTTGACTGCTTACTCTGCCTCTGATGAGCTAGTTTACCTATAAGAGCTCTAGCAACCTCTTGCAGAAACAATCTTGCCAAATTTATAATAAAATATTAAACATTGGAGATTTGTATTTTGAGTAAAACCATACTTTATTGCTCTGCAGAATTTTAGAATGTGGAGAAACACAAAGCGGAAAACTGCAATAATCTTGGCCATACTATTTTTTTAAAAGGCAGTAGATATTGCAAACATTTTGGATGATATGTTATCTAGAAATTAAATTCTCAGTTTCAATTTGAATAAACTATCAGTATTAAAAAATAATGATCAAACATTGATAATTTCAACATGTTATTAAATAGTAAAAATCTCAGAAAATTATCGACTCTTGGAGCATTTTTTGTTGTTGCTGCTGATTTTGGCTTTTTACTATTTAATTTCTCCTTTAGAAATTTTTATGTTCCTTGGGAGAATTACAGAATCTAAGATAGCATTTTGTGGATCCTTAATTCTCATATACTATTAATAGGGCTAATTACCAATGAGTGTCCTTAAATGGTGTTAGAGTAAGAACCACTTCTCAAAAATTGTGAAATATGTAACATAATGGTAACCCTTGTTCTTCTGCTGATTTTTTGGATGCCTAGATAGGATTTAAATCCCATAATTATATTCATGCCATTTATGGAA